GTTCCGGGACAGGCTCCAAAGCTACAGAGAAACCCTGTCTCAAAAAAACAAAACAAAAAGAGCTAGTTTCAGTACAGCTAAGGCTGTTACACAGAGAAACCCTGTCTCAAAAAAAAAGAAAGATAATGTTATTTAGTTTATGTGCATGACTGGTGTCTGCAGATGCTGAGGAAGGTGTCAGATCCCCTGGCCCTGGAATTATAGATGGGTTGTGTGCTGCATTAAACCCGGGTCCTCTGGAAGAGCAGCAAGTGATCTTAACCACCTATGACATCTCTCCAGCTCCAAAGGTGATGAATCTGAGGGTAGGCTGGTTACAGGGGAAGATGCCATCTCCAAGGAAAGAAAAATGAGAGCTGGGGAGATGGCTCAGTTAGTGGCCTTGCCTTTCACGCATGGCGAACTGAGTTAAATTTGTTTGTTTGCTTGTTTGTTTTGAGACAGCAAGACCCTGTCTGGCATACCTCAGGCCAGTCTGGAACTCACAGAGATCCACCTGCCTCTGCTTCCAAAGTGCTGGGGTTAAAGGCTTGCAAAGCACACACAGCTTAGAGGACCTGAGTTGGGATCTCCAGCACCCCAGTTACAGGCTAGGCAAGGAGGACCTGAGCTGCCCACCAGCCTCATTAGTGAGTTACAGGCTTGGTGAGACGCTCAGTGGGTGAAAACACTCAGTCTCCGGAATCTATGCTGGGAGGAGAGAAGTAGCTCCAGAAAGCTGGCTTCTGATCTCCACAGGGATGTTATGGCATGTGTGCCTGCATTCATATTCATACACGTATACAGTAATAAAAATTGACGTGTAGTGCTGACCTCTGCATACATGTGTGCATGTACACAAACACACACATATACATTGCAGATGTGGTGGGTCATACCTGAAATCCCAGCTTTTAGAAGGGAAAAGCAAGAGGAATGTCATGAGTTCTGGGGCAGCCTAAGTTACAGTCTATGTTAAAGAAAAAAAAATTCCCACTGGGTGGTGGTGGTGCACGCCTTTAATTCCAGCACTTGGGAGGCAGAGGCAGGCGGATCTCTGCGAGTTCGAGGCCAGCCTGGTCTACAAGAGCTAGTTCCAGGACAGGCTCCAAAGCTACAGAGAAACCCTGTCTTGGAAAAAAAAAATCCCAGGGCTGAGGAGATAGATAGATGGATGGCTTAGTGGCTAAGAGCACTTGCTGCTCTTCCAGAGGACCAAGGTTCACTTCCCAGCACAACTGCCTGCAACTCCAGTTCCAGGGAATCTGACACCTTCACACCAATACACATAAAATAAAGTTAAAACTAAAAAAAAAAAGTGTTTTAAAAAATAATCACTCCCGCTTCAAAAAGTCAAGCAGGAAAGCAGTATCCCTAAGAGGGTGCCAGTCAGTCAGAACAGTTCATTCTCAGCAGGGCCTGATGGCACATGCCTTTAATTCCAGAACTCTGGAGACAGAGGCATGAGAATCTCTGAGTTCAAAGCCAGCCTGGTCTACATAACACGCTCTAGTATGGCCAGAATGCCCCTGTCTCAAAATAACATCAAAGGTTCGGTTTACTTCTCAACTCAGGGCAGCTAACCTCCAATGCTCCAGACCTTTTGGAAACATTGACTCCAGCTATGGAGAAGCTTTTCAAATGCTTAGACTAGGCCTTCCGTCACCTTAGACTAGGCCTCTTTCACCTTAGACTAGGCCTTCCTTCACCTTAGACTAGGCCTCTTTCACCTTAGACTAGGCCTTCCTTCACCTTAGACTAGGCCTTCCTTCACCTTAGACTAGGCCTTCCGTCACCTTAGACTAGGCCTTCCGTCACCTTAGACTAGGCCTTCCATCACCTTAGACTAGGCATTCCATCACCTTAGACTAGGCCTTCCGTCACCTTGCTCTCACTTCCCAAGTGTCTCTAGGAACAAGGACAGGAAAAGGAAGTGTTCCCTAAAGAGAGAGACAGGACATGGACAGGCATGCCTGTTACTCCTGAACTTGGGAGGAAGAGGCAGGAGGGATCCTGAGTTTGGGGCCAACCTGGACGACACAACAAGTTCTAAGTCCATGACTGGGCTATGCATCAGGAATAGCTAGGTATAAACAAAAGCAGGATGAAAAGTGAGACTAGCCCGGGCGATGGTGGCACACACCTTTAATCCCAGTAGTGGGGAGGCAGAGGCAGGCAGATCTCAGTGAGTTTGAGGCCATCCTGGTCTATAGAGTGAGTGCCAGGACAGCCAGGGCTGTTACACAGAGAAACCCTGTTGCAAAGAGAGAGACTGAAGGCTGTGTGACTCTTCTCTGTACCGACAGGTTTTCCTCCCAAGGAGCTGGAGTAGCAGGAGCAGAGGGGACAGAGCTCACGGCAGGCCCGGTCTCCTCAGCTCTGCCAGCCTCTTGCAGATGACACTGGACATCAGGCCAATGGCCCGGCAAGTACAGAAGACAGGCACAGACTGCTCCTTCCTGAGAATTCTGGAACTGCTTTGGACCACTCTCCCTTTTCCAAAACTAGATTTCTTTTTGTCCTGAAACAGGGGTTTTTGTTGTTGTTTTTTCCCAGACAGGGTTTCTCTAGGTAGCCTAGTCTGGCCTAGAACTCAAAGATCCAACTGCCTCTGCCACCACTGCCTGGCATTGAAACAGAGTCTTATGTAGCCCAGTGTGATCCTTTGAGTTAGAATGGCTCCATAGGTTCATGTTTGAATTCTTGGTCCCCAGTTGGTAGAACCGTTTGGAAAGGATTAGGAGGTGTGGCTTGTTGAAGGTGTGTTGCTGGGGTGGGCTTTGAGGTTTCAAATCCAGGCTGATTTCCAGTTAGCTCTCTGCCTTGAGCTTGTGGGTCAGTTGTCACCTCCAGCTACTGCTCTATCACCATGCCATGCCTGCCTGCTGCCATGGTCCCCACCGCAGTGGTCATGGGCTCACTCGCTGAAACGGTAAGCCCTGATAGACTCCTCCTGTTGTCTGTTGCCTTGGTCATGGAGTCTCTTCACAGTAAAATTAACTAAGACACCAAAGTTGGCTTTGAGCTACTGATCCTCTTATATCCACCTCCCAAGAGCCAGGATTAGCATCCCCAGCTGTAAGGGGGCTTCTGTACAATCTACTCAACTCACCAAGCTCCAGGGATTTCATGGTAAAACATGAGCTATCTGCCACCAAACCAACCAGCGAGCAACTAAGTGTCTTAGGGAAATGAGGACTCATACAGGGAGTTTATACTATACCTGTCTGAGCTCCCCACTCCCAACCCCTCATTTCAGCCTTATGTAGCCCAGGCTGGCCTCAAGCTTGCTAAGGCTACCCTTGAATTTCTGATCCTCTTTCCTCTGCCTTCAGAGTGCTGGGATGACAGGCCTGCATTGCTACTACCCCTGGTTGTATTGTGTTTGGTGCTTGGGATTGAACTCAGGGCTTCCTGTAAGATAGACAGGCTAGGATGCTACCAACTGGGCTGCATCCCTACCCCACCCCACGCTTTCTCAGAGCTCAAGTTCCAAGATATATATGTATATATTTGTATGTATGTATACACACACACACACACACACACACATATATATATATATATATTTCCCCCAAAAACTGTGTAGTCCAGGCCGTCCTGGAACTCACTCTGTAGACCAGGCTGGCCTGGAACTCAAAGGTCCGCCTCCCTCTGTCTCCCCCAGGACTGGAATTAAAGGAACCCACACAGCTTCCAGTGTCTCTTCTTTTGTCCTGGTGTTGTTCAGGAGTCCATAGCACAGCACATTGCTAAGTCCCTTAGCTGTGTCCTTTGAAAGCCTCAACAGATACTGGGACCCATTTTGACAGCCTCACCAGGGAAGTTGGCTGCCCTCACATTTCTCCTGTTTCTGCTAGTTTACTCTTGGGGACTTCAAATCTGGGTCTTTAATTAATCTTCTTTATAGGACAAGCTGCAAGGGAAGAGGACTCTGGCCTGTGATTTCACCTACGCTAACTTAAGCTTGAATGAGACGCACGCAGGCTGGGCGGCTAAGGAAAGGAAGCCCAGCCCAACAGTCTGTTCACAGGCCTGGACCTCCCTTCCGTGATAGCCCTCAGGCTGGCTCTTATCTGTCCCGCAAGTCCCTGCTCAATCACTTCTCCAGGGAGGCCCACTTGTTACTCTGAGAAGAGTTTCAGCCCAGGAAAAAGTCTGCCTCCGCTCCAGTCACTACTCGAGCACCACCTCCCGTCCAGTTAACGGTTTATCCTGCGTCCTCCTCATGCCAATGCCAGTTTCAGAAGAGCTGTTTCTACTGGCCTGCAGCAAGACCTTACATGGCCTTCAATAGTTCAAGTATTGATAACAACGGTTCACGCGTGTACAGCCCTTGTCACAACGGCACACACGTGACATTGCTATTTATAGTGCCTCTCCATCACACCAAAGCCTGCCGTCTATTAAGAACTCAGAAAGCAGGAGTTGTGTGTGATACAGCTACCCAGGGGCACCCTGAAGAGCTCTGCTGGGGAAGTGGGAAAGACAAGAATCCTAAGAATCTCAAAAACTGGAAGCAAGAAGTTGGGCTTCTGCCGTGTGGGGAAGGGGGATGGATGGAGGGTGTCCGTTTATTCTCATCAGACCACAGCTTTAGCCATGATCCCCTGCCACAGCTCCCCGAGGCCCCCAGGTCAGCTGGCACCTGGTTATCAGCCTCTCGCCCTGCCCCGATTTTCTGGAATGTGACAGATTAGTAGCACAGACCGTCCAAAGATAATTCCAATAAACTGTTTGGACACTTGTCTCAGGGTCACGCTGCCCAGCCTGTGAGGGAAGCATCTGCTGAGGGGATCGTGGTGCTGGGAGGGGTGTGTGGAAAAGGCACTTCTGTCCTCCTGCTGCGGAGATGGGAGCTCTACTTTAGTAAGCCTCTGGATGCAGAAAGCACTTCCACAAAGCAGCCATGTTTGAAATGTTCAAAATAGAAAACACGTGGTCAAAAAAAAAAAAAAAAAAAAGCCTCAGGGCAGACACTACAGCCCCAGGCCCCTTCCCGAAGTGCCCTGCGGACTTACCAAAAAGCAATGGCTTGAGGCTGAGGGTTCGGATGAAGTGATCCCTGCCTGCGACCAGTTGGACTTTCCGCTCATACCCCACCTAAAGGAAAAGTACACAGAGGGCAGCTGGTGTGCCAGGCCGCACTGCTCAAGAAAAGTCCCGTGTCAGGGCGCGACAGTGGGAAAGTAAGTAGGCGCGTGCGTGATCCGCACACAGTGCTGTAGGGAGCAGCCTGGGGGCCCCGTCCGGCTTGGCTAGGCAGTGCCTGGAGCGCAGCGCGGGGAGAAGGTGTTCTTACCTTGATGCCCTCCAGCCTAGTGAGGGGACCCAAGGTTGGCACTGACTGTGGGCTCTCCTCTTGGTGTTGGGGTCTGGGGTCTGTGCTCTCATCCCCGTTGCTGTAGTGAACGAAGAGCAGCAGCGCCAGTACGTTGCCAAGGTACAGGTGCACGAACACCATCAGCACCAAGAAGTAGGCGCGGGAGCAGATGCCCCGTGGCTTGCACAGTGGCCGCACCGGTGCCTCTTCGCCATCGCCTGGTCGGGTCGCTGGCACGGAAGGGCGATGCTCTGGCGGCAGTGGCCACTGCGGATCTGAGGCCTCTTCGACTGTCTCAGCCTCAGGCCGCTGCACTGCTGCCGCCGCCGCCATGGCGCCCAGGTCGCGCGCGCGCCCAGGGGAGGGGCCGCGGGGGTGCTCGCGCTGCGCAGTCGCCGGGACCAGGACGGCGTAGTCAGCGCGCACCGCGGTCACTAGAAGAGCGAAGAGCGAGCTTTGGGATGCTGCGCCTGCACGCAGCTGCGCCCGTAAGTCCACTCTGAGATCCAGGGACCTCGATGGCACCGGGGTTGTCGCTTCCCGAGCTGCACCACTCCCCATCGCCGAAAGACACCTCACACATGTGGAGGCATACAAGGAGTGCACCGTTAGGGCATACTCCATTGCTACGAGTAGTTTCTTGGTTCCCACTTTCCATAAAAGTATAGCCGGCATTTTCTCGCTCCTGGGAGAGGAAGTCGGGAGTGGCAGCAACGGCGGGCCGCGCTTTGAGTTAATGTGCTGCTGAGGCAATGACTGCACACCTGATGATCAGGTTGCAGAGCATGACTGTTTTAATTAAACATTTTCTGTATATGTGAGTAACTGCATATGTGCATGTGCACTCCATGCGTGCCTGTGTTTGCAGGGGACAGAAGGGGAGTTGGAGCCGGGGTCACGGACATTTGTGTGTCGCCGTGTGTGTGCCAGGAACAGTAAGTGCTTTAAGTGCTCTTAACCAGCTACCCCTTCAGCTTCCGTGTTTTGTTTCGTTTTTTTTTTTTTTTCTTTTAAATGAAAGACAGGGTCTCATATAGGTCAAGCTGGCATATCAAACTCGCAAGGAGCTAAGAGTGACCTGATTCTCCTGCCTCCACCTCTCAATTGCTGGAGTTACCAGGCAGACATCACCAGATCCCTACAGTTCCCATGACCAAGATATTCTTGAAGGCCCTGCTGGGGTCAGACTGGATTACCAAAGGATGCCCTGCAAGTCACGCTTTAGGAAGAAACTGCCAGCTGTGCAGCACTGTGCAGCTGTTGAGACCCAGACTAGCCGGGAAGAATCCTGAAAACAGAAAGACGGGGCTCCGCCGGGTTTGTGTTAACACTCGCCTGGAATTTATTGGGTGGAAAGAGAGAGGAAGATAGTGCTTTCCCCTAATTGGGACAACCTGACCTCAGAAGAAAACGAAACTCGGATTATAAAAGCAGCAGCCAAGGCATTTCTGAACTCTGCTTTTCTAGACTGGGTTACCCTCAGGAGATATCCACACCCTAGGGCAGCTGACCACCCACTCCCCAATGCAATAAAGAACTAGTAAGGTTGTACTCTGGTCCTAGACAGGATGGGTCACTTCCAACATTTTACAAAGGCAGGTTTCATCAGTGCCCTAAATGCCAGAGTTTACCAATCAAAGTCTAGTCAATCTCAGACGACTTTGTTCATCTTCCTAGCTCACAAGAGGATAGATTCTGGGCTTTTCCGGGTCAGAAGGGAACAGGCAGCAATGAGAATGATGATTTAGCCAAAGCATGTTGGTGTTGAAACACTACAGGAGGTATTAAGGCTTCCTTAGAAGAGGAATCAGCTTCTGATAGCCTGAACTCCAAACAGCCTTGCAGAAGTCCTTTCATTGTTACACAAAAGCCAGTTCCAGGAGCTACACAGAACAAACAAGCCAGGGGTACATAGAGAAATCCACACCCCTGCCCCAAGAAAAGTCTTTTAGCAAGTCATTTTTTTTACAGGTTTTTCTGTAGCTTTGGAGCCTGTCCTGGGAACTAGCTCTTGTAGACCAGGCTGACCTTGGACTCACAAAGATCTGCTGACCTAGGAGTTGTTGAGGAAACCATTCCAGGTTTGCCAGGAATGTCTTAGGACTGTCATGCTAAGGCTCTGAAACTCCCAAGATTCCTTGAAGGCCTAAATAGCCAGCACTCCAGAATAAATGCCGGGTGCAATGGGTCTCCTAATTTACTACAAAAGCAGGGATGTTATGGTAACAGTCACCACGTGTTCCATTTTCATGTGAAGTGGCAGCAGAAATCTCTGGTGACTTGCCTGACCCTACACAAAAGCAGAGGCAATAAGGACATAGCCTCTTCCCCCATTATTTACTTTTTAATGTGTGTGCATGTGTATACAGTGCTTTAAGATTGATTCTAACGCCTTCCTCCACTGTTCTGCCCTGTATTCACTGAAACAGGCTCTCACGGGAAGCGAGCTCACCAGTTCAGCAGTCTGGCCAGCTTTGAGGATGCCATCTCCCACCTGTCTGTGCTGGGATTACAGGCAGGCTGCAAGGCCTGCTCTACATTTATTTATGTGCTGCGGACCTCAAGCTTGGGAGGCAATCACTGAACCATCTCTCCAGCTGCCTAAAATTCATCCATGAAGGAGTGTAACTGCTGCTACAATTTTTTTTTTTTTTTTTTTTTTTTTTTTTTTTTTTTTTTTTTTTTTTTTTTTTTTTTTTTTTTTTTTTTTTTTTTTTTTTTTTTTTTTTTTTTTTTTTTGGAGACAGGGTTTCTCTGTGGCTTTGGAGCCTGTCCTAGAACTAGCTCTGTAGACCAGGCTGGTCTCGAACTCACAGAGATCTGCCTGCCTCTGCCTCCCGAGTGCTGGGATTAAAGGCGTGCGCCACCACTGCCCGGCTGCTACAATGTTTTATCTCAGTATCTGAGCATGGAGGTCCACACCTGTCATCTCGGTACTGAGGTGAAAGCAGGTGGCGTGGGGGGGTGCACATCTGTAATCTAGGTACTGGGGAGGTGAAAGCAGGTGGCGTGGGGGGGTGCACATCTGTAATCTAGCTACTGGGGAGGTGAAAGCAGGTGGCCTGTCTACTTCATGGCAAGGTCCTGTCTCAGTTTATGGCTTAAACAGAGAAGTCTCTACTGTTAATTTAGGAATATTCACATCTTAGTTGGGTGTGGGAGAACATGCCTGTAATCTCAGAGCCAACAACTCCAAGTTCAAGGCCTGGTCTACATAGGGAGTTCCAGGTTTCCCTTGCTGTAATTGTCTTCAAATTATGCTACACTAGTCTGAAATGCCCCCCCCCCCACAGGGTTTTTCTTCTGTGTAGCTTTGGCACTTGTCCTGGAACTCGCTCTAGCCTTGAACTCAGAGATCTGCTTGCTTCTGCCTCCTGAGGGCTGTGATTAAAGATGTGTACCACAACCCAGCCTCAATTTGTTTTTTAAAAATAATTTACTTATTTTATGTGCATTGGTGTTTTGGCTGCATGTATATTTGCATGAGAGTGTCAGATCTTGGAGTTACAGACAGTAGTGAGCTGCCATGTAGGTGCTGGGAATTAAACCTTGGTCCTCTGGAAGAGCAGTCAGTGCTCTTTACTGAACCTTCTCCCCAGCCCCTTAACAGACATTTCACATTTAAGTGTACGTATGTTTGTGCTACACCGGGTGTAGAGGTCAGAGACAACCTGTAGTTTTCTCCTGCCACATGGATCCTGGGGATCTTACTCAGCAGTCAGTGAAATGCCTTTACTCACTGAACCATCTTGACAGAGACATTCTTTCTAAAAAGATCACCAGTAGTGTGAATGCCATGGTCATGGCACCTTGCTGCCCACTGTGCTTAACTGGTCCTGGGCCTTGCTGCCCAGTAAACATATTCACTAGTGGGGCTGGAGAATTGGCTAAGCTGTTAAGAGCACTTGCTCTTGCAAATGATCTGGGTTTGATTTGCAGCATCCATATGCCTCCCCAGGCATGCACACAGTATACAGACATAATACACACAACACCTACACATACATCCTGTCCCTTCAGACCCCACCGTGTTCCCAGGGCTAAGCCTAAGGACAGCATACCTGCGGCGAGCCAGCAGTGTGGAATGCAGCCCACCACAGTGCTAGCGTGTCTTACCCTGCAATCCCTCTCACTAACGCTGCTCACATGCCTGACAACACATCAGAAACAGACCCATTTCCAATTTTTTTTTGTTTTTGTTTTTTTTTTTTTCTTTTTCGAGACAGGGTTTCTCTGTGGCTTTGAAGCCTGTCCTGGCACTAGCTCCGTAGACCAGGCTGGTCTCGAACTCACAGAGATCCACCTGCCTCTGCCTCCCGAGTGCTGGGATTAAAGGCATGCGCCACCATCGCCCGGCCCCATTTCCAATTTTTGTCCCGAGTTTTGTTTATAAATTTCAAGAGCCACAATGTCCTCTGTCATATGGTCTGCATTTGCTTTGGAGAGACCCAGAGGGCTTTAATGGCAGGGCTCAGGGTGTTCCTACTTCAGCCCAAGGTGTTTGTAGGGAATGGCTCAATCTGTCCCCAAGGAAAGGAGAACTAACACTTCTCCTTCTGCAGGGGGCACTCAGAACCATTTCTCCCCACAGGAAGAAAAGCACTGCTAACTCTAACGGGGCCTCACAGTCCCTGGAGGAGGAGGACAAAAGGCACTTAGACACTTTGAAGGAAGACTCCACACACTTTTATAATCAGAAACTTAGTTTATTCTGAATAAACCACTCAACTTTGAGCAGATGACATCACCTCAACTTTTCTTTAAAGAAAAACAAGGATCTGGTCAGTTCATGAAAACACGTCTTTCTCTACCCTTTGTAGGGCAAAACGCCAAACAAAACCAAACACCCCCCCCCCCACAAAAAAACCATCTCTGCCTGACCTTTAAGATGTCCCTGATAATGTTGCAAAGGACGGCCACTGAGGGCGCAAAAGGAAGGTGTCCACAGGTGAAGTACTACCAGCTGTGGCCGGCACAGCTTCCTGCAGTGCGAATGGTCAGGGTCACAGCTGATAAGTAGCATGTCAGCTGCGCAGTTCAGAAAGCGCCCAAGGGGTTTAGGTTGCAGAGCTGCAACTCTGGTTCTGTGTCACGGCAGTGCCACTGATGGAAGGCTGTGTATCAGCACAGAATGCACGTGCCACCCCAGGCCCTGCGGTAGGAATATTCCTGGTTTACGATTAGCTCCTACTGTTATTTTGGGATCAAGCGATACACACCAAACTACTTCCAATCCACCCCACAATCTCTCACTTGTCGGGACAACATGAAGAGACAAAACCTGAGGAGGTGAAAGAGAACATGTAGCTGGCCAAGTACCCCAAGAGTCGCAGCTGTCACCTGTCTTGAAAACAACTCCATTTTATAGCTTTACATGGTACCTAGGTAATTGTTGACTGGAGGTGAAAATGTATGAATATCAAAGAATCTGCATCGCAATATTCACAGATTTCTCTGCAGGCTCTCCTAGGAGTTCAAGGAGGCCCTGTCAAGTATAGATAGCTCTGCCAGTCTCAGAGGGAGGCACTGAACAAAGCCATGGAAACCCCAGAGATCACAGATCTAACTTTTCAAAGGCCCACAGGACCAGGTTCAAGACAGGAAGGACACCAGGCAAGCTGCCTATCCCCGTGCACTTGACTGTGCAAGGACTGGTCCTTTCCTCCGGCCAGCCCCTTCTAGTAAAGGAACTGGGACCACACCAGGCATTCTCCTGGCCTTAGACTCCCAGACCCTAGAGATGGGGTCCTCTGACAACTGCAACTAGGCGAAAGGGAACATATCCCAGCCCAGAGTAGCGTCTGGCCACACTCCAGGCTAACATAAAATAACTTGTGCAAACCTAGCTCTTGAGCCACAAGGCCCATGCCCTTGAAAGGGCCATGCTAAACTCTGACCTTGATGTCCACAAGAATGCAGTAGGACAGTGTCGGACACGGCACGTGTGGCCCTGGTCAGAGTACACCATTGAATACTGGATCAAAAGGAACAACCAAAGAAAAGAAAACTTATTCGGGGAACGATTCCTTTCAAAGGTGGCTCTCTTTTCTTTAGGAGACAAAAGGAAGCACCACGCTGAACCAGTCTCCCAGTCTGGAGGTGCGAAAGCCCACCTCTGCTCTGCTATGGCTTCTGGCTTGGTGGCCTAACTCAAGTAAGTCTCACATTGAAGAATAAAAGTAAGCCATATTGAGACCTTGCTTGCCCTGTGCCCTTGCTGCCCAGCGAAGGCAGGAGGCATGTGACCCTGTGCGCCATGCCTGTTATGCAGGCCAACTCAGCTCCCCACCATCTGCCACCCTTGCTTTCCCTTGGACTCCAGATACCGTCAAACAGGATGCTGGAAAGCAGATGCCACCCCAGGGACCCTGGCAGCGCAGACATTCTGAGGCTGGTGGCTGGGCAGCATCAGGTTATATTCTAAGTAAAATAGCTAGAGGGTATACACTCCAAAGCCAATTTATTTTCAAAAGGGCTCTGTGTTATCCTATGGTTTGCCTTTTTTCTTTATAATCGTACAACCTTTGAAAATTACATAAGTTGTAATGATCTAATACTATTAATAGCCATTCAGGAAAAAAAGTTCCCTCCCTCCCAACAACCATCCAGGGAGAATTTAATAAAAGTCCTTACTAGAGGCCAGTCCAACATGGCCTCTACCCTGGTAGAAACAAAAAGCAAAAAGATGAGGAGAAAACAAATTGACTAAGAGGTTGTTGCCAGTGTCTCTCAGGAGTGGGGCCCTGGCTGTTGCCTGGGGTCTTGAAGGCAGAGCCTGCAGCATGCAGTATGGTAGCCGGGACGCCCACAGCTACGTCTTCCTCACCCCGGCACATCCACAGCCCAGCTTAGGTGTCGTGAAAATCCTTCAGCAGGGTTCTTCTCCGCTGCTCTGCTATGTGCATTTGGTTTTCCAAGTCCTGCACAAGGGATATACAACAGGTGCTTACAAGTCCCAAAGCCAACTAAGAGCAGGGGCTCTGTCTGAGGAGTCCAAACAAAATTAACCTTTCACCCCCACTGCAACAGCGTTAACCGCCATCTCCATACAATCACCTATTAATGAAACCTTTCCCTTACCTGCACCAGGGCAGAAGACACTTACCCCTCTGTCATAGCTGTCTGCACGCTCAACTTTCCACGACAGGTTTTCAATTTCAGCCTCCAGCTGAGCCTGCTGGTATTCAAACTGTATGGGCAGAGCAGGAGGGTCAAAAGGAGAGGGGCTGTAGCCGGGCAGGGCCTGCAGACGGAGGGCACATGCAGCACCTCAGGCTCCAATTAGCAACTGATAAGCCTGCCACTGTCCTCAGAATGCCCCCTACCCTCTATGCATAGAGCTGGAGATCAGCATCCAAAGGAAGGCGAGAAGCTTAAAGTCAAAGGAAAAGACTTTCCCCAAAATACTGGGACACAGATGCTGCCAAAGTGAAGTTAGAAAGGACATCCTCAAAACACTGCACTCACTCAACATTCTCCGCAGCCTTTCAGCCAATCAAAAGCCTTTCTATCAGGTGAGACACCTACCTACCTACCTAGGATGGACAAAGCCGGACTGGGATCTTGCCTGAAATCCCCACACTAAGGAGCATCACAAATTCAAGATCCTCCTTGGTTACTTAGGAAGTTTGAGGCTGCCTCAGCTATAGGAAGCCATAACTCTTAAAAAACCAACCAACTGACCAAACGAAGGAAACCCTTTGAAAAACCAAACAGTTTGGTCTGTGGGGTTATGCAGGCCAGAGGCCTGTACTTTTAACACTTGAGAGGTAGAGACAGGAAGATTTTAAGTGAGGTCCTACCTCAGAAAAAAAAAGAAATCAAATTCTTTGACTTAGTAACTATACACCCGAGGAGTAAAATGTTATGCATGAAGACTTTCCTCGGTCTTATTGGTGACAGTGAAAATGGAAACAACTGTCACCTCAAATGATAATACATTAAGGCAATACAGATGGGGCATTTACATAGCCACTAAAAAAAACAGAATTTAATCTGGTAAATCATGACAGCTCACGAGTGCTGGGATTAAAGGCATGCATCACCACCGCCTGGCTGGTATTTTCTTTTCTTTTCTTTTCTTTTTTTTTTTTTTTAGAAAAAAAAAGGGGGGGGGGGCTGGAGAGATGACTCAGAGGTTAAGAGCATTGCCTGCTCTTCCAAAGGTCCTGAGTTCAATTCCCAGCAACCACCTGTAATGAGGTCTGTTGCCCTCTTCTGGCTTGCAGGCATACATGCTAGATAGAATATTGTATACAAAAAAAAAAAAAAAAAGAATTATTCATTATATATACAGTGTTCTACCTGCATGTAGCTTGCACACCAAATGAGGGCATAAGATTCCTTTACAGATGGTTGTGAGTCACCGTGTGGTTGCTGATAATTGAACTTAGGACTTCTAGAAGAGCAGCCAGGGCTCTTAACCTCTGGGCTATCTCTCCAGCCCCCTGATTTTGTTGTTGGTGATAAGGTACCATTATGTAGCCTAGGATGGACCAAAACTCACAATACTTCTGTATCTGTATTGCTAGGACTATAGGTGTGTGTTTCTGGTACTGGGATGGAATCCAGGAAGCCAGGCAGATAGATGCTCTTCCACGAAGCCATATTTCCATAACATTAATTTTAAAGGATAGAAAATGTTAACCATGCCGGGCAGTGGTGGCGCACGCCTTTAATCCCAGCACTCGGGAGGCAGAGGCAGGTGGATCT